AAATTCAAGCACCAACAATCAAGTGCTGAGGAAGGGCAGACTACATCTTTGAAAAAAGGAGTAAAAGAAGCCAAGAGAAACATGCGGGAAGAAAGAATGCAGGAATAATCAGCTTTAACTATTTATAAGGGACGAAAACAGGAAATGAGGAAGGAACATTGGTATGATAATGCACAGGAGAGATCGTGTTTATTTCAGGCTAGAGCAGGAGTATCGTGAACTAGGACATATAGGACAAAGTATGAGGAAATGGATACGCGGTGTGTCGTATGTTAAGGGAGGACGAGACAATAGAACATGTCGTTTTGAGGCGCACAGTGTCTTCTAGCGCCATCCCGGAGGGGGCGACGGATTTAGCCTGAGCGCTGGGGTTTGCAGACAAGAATGGAAGAATAGGTGACAAGTGCATTTCTATAGAAAAAGAAGAGATTGGAAGACTGGCTGAAGTTATCTAGAAAGAATTGAATGTCGTGCAAATAACTCACACAGCTGGGGACATGCGGGAAAGAGAAAAATCGGACTCCTTTCCGCGTGGTTTCGGCCTAATGTCTTAACCCTGTCTCCCAATGGGCGCGGTGCTGGGCTAACGCCGACTAGGTTTAACCAACGGAGAACTGACGACTCTCTCTCCAAGGAGAAGAGAAGCGGGCGATGTTTTTAGTTTTTTTCCCAATCGCCCACAAGTCATCCTTGCAATATCCCACACCGCCTGGTGATAGTTACGAAATTGCACTGGGGAAGCAAATTGGCGAAGGAAGAAAATCATACTTTTTGTTTTTATTTCTAGGCTAGGTGGCGCAAGCTACCGCTCATTATAAAGGGTACAGCCGGTAGCATTCATTCATCCATCCATCCATCAATCCGGTTGTTCGTAAGTTACGACGTGGGGATCGTCCCTTCGGGTGAAATTTAACCATACTTTTGAGAGTTTAAGGTGCTAAAGTACATTGTTTCGTAATAGGGAGTTTTAGGGAACTGGAATGAAATACGGTCGGTGAACCAAACGATCGGTACCTCGGATCGCGAGCTCGGACCGATCGTTTTCCATGAAAAGCTTTTAGAAAACCGCGTCTGCAGACGATTACAGACGATCGGTGCAAGTTGCGACCACTGTCAATGGAAATGCGCAATGGCTTCGTAAAATGGATAAAAAAAAGTGAAAGCTGCTTACTACTCCCTGTAACGCCGAATTAGAGCGCAGCTTTTGAGGAGGAGGAGGGAAGGGCACTGGGGGGGGTTAAACTAACCAGGGGGAGGGGTCACGTGACCTTGGGGGGTCACGTGAGCTTGGGGGTCACGTGACCCCCAATGCCGATGATGTCATCACTGACGTCACTGATGACGTCATCAGTGATGATGACGATGCGGGTACCGATGACGTCATTAGTGACGTCACTGATGACTTCACCAGTGATGATGACGATGACGATGCGAATGTCGGTGACGTCATCAGTGACGTCGCTGATGACGTCATCAGTGATGATGACGATGACGATGCGGATGTCGGTAACGTCATCAGTGATGATGACGATGCGGATGCCGGTGACGTCATCAGTGATGATGACGATGACGATGCGGATGCCGGTGACGTCATCAGTGACGATGACGATGACGATGTGGATGCCGGTGACGACATCAGTGACGATGACGTCATTGGGGGGTCACGCGACATCGGCGGGGGTCACGTGACCTCAGGGGAGTCACGTGACCCCGGTGGGGGGCTCGCGCGGTGCATTATGGGACATTTCCCATGATGCACCGCGCGGTTACGCCGACGCCGACGCCGACGGCGACGCCGACGCCGCTCAAGCCGGAAACGGGCCCCTAAGAGCTGCGCTCTAAAATGAAAGCCGTTTACAACTCCCTGTAACGCCGAATTAGAGCGCAGCTCTTGAGGAGGAGGAGGGAAGGGTACTGGGGGGTGGGTCAAGTGACCTCGGGGGGCGGGGGGTCACGTGACCTTGGGGGTCACGTGACCTTGTGGGAGTCACGTGACCTTGGGGCGTCACGTGACGTCGGGGGAGTCACGTGACCTGGGGCCACGTGACGATACCGATGACGTCATCAGAAGCGTCACTGATGACGCCATCAGTGATGATGATGACGATGCGGATGCCGGTGACGTCATCAGTGACGTCACTGATGACGTCATCAGTGATGATGACGATGACGATGCGGATGCCGGTGACGTCATCAGTGACGTCATCAGTGACGTCACTGATGACGTCATCAGTAGCTATGACGTCAACGAGGGGTCACGTGACCTCGGGGGTATCCCCAGGTCACGTGACCCCAGGGGGGGGGTCACTTGACCTGGGTAACCATCGTGACCCTCGTGAGGGTAACCCTAGTAACCCTTGAGGGCAACTCTCGTGACCCTCGTGAGGGTAACTCTCGTGACCCTCGTGAGGGTAACTCTCATAACCCTCGTGAAGGTTACCCTCACGAGGGTTACTAACCCTCGTAACCCTCGTGAGGGTTACGAGGGTAAGTAACCCTCGTGAGGGTAACTCTCATAACCCTCGTGACCCTCGTGAGGGTAACCCTCGTGAAGGTTACCCACACGAGGGTTACTAACCCTCGTAACCCTCAAAAGGGTTACCTTCACGAGGGTTACCCTCACGAGGGTTACTAACCCTCGTAACCCTCGTGAGGGTTACAAGGGTAAGTAACCCTCGTGAGGGTAACCCTCGTGAAGGTAACCCTTTTGAGGGTAACTAACCCTCGTAACCCTCGTGAGGGTTACAAGGGTAAGTGACCCTCGTGGCCCTCGTGATCCTCGTGAGGGTAGCTTTCATGAGATTAACCCTCGTAACCCTCGTAACCCTCACGAGGGTTACGAGGGTTGCGGTTACGCCGACGCCGACGCCGACGGCGACGCCGACGCCGCTCAAGCCGAGAACGGGCCCCTAAGAGCTGCGCTCTAAAAGGTGGCATGTTTTAACGCGATAGCGTTGGTTGCCTCCATCGGATCGCAGCAACGGCTGTGGTCGGTCCTAACGTAAAATAGATTATAGTCACTAAGGGACTTTTTAGAGCGCAGCTCTTAGGGGCCCGTTCCCGGCTTGAGCGGCGTCGGCGTCGCCGTCGGCGTCGGCGTAATCAAGGTCATCCCAAGGTCACGTGACCCCCAAGGTCACGTGACCCCTCCCAAGGTTATCTCAAGGTCACGTGACCCCACGTGACCCCCTGAAGGTCACGTGACCCCTAAGGTCACGTGCCCTTGGGGGTCACGTGGGGTCATCTTGGGATCACGTGACCCCCAAGGTCACGTGACCCCTCGAGGTCACGTGACTCCTTCCAAGGTCATCTCAAGGTCACGTGACCCCACGATGACCCCACGTGACCCTTTGAAGGTCACGTGACCCCAAGTCACGTGACCCCTCTGAGGTCACGTGACCCCTCTGAGGTCACGTGACCCCCAAGGTCACGTGTGGGTCACGTGACCTTGAGGTGACCCCCAGGTCACTCCTCCCCGAGGTCACGTGACCCCCTCCCCGAAGTCACGTGACACCCCCCCCGGAGCATATTAAAGAATGAAGGGAGGAGGAGAAGGGCGAGGGGTCTACCCTCCCCTCAGTACCCTTCACTCCTCCACCTCAAGAGCTGCGCTCCAATTCGGCGTTACAGGGATTTGTAAACGGCTTTCACTTTTTTAAGCTGTTTTACTTTTTGTTAAGCATGTACCACCAACTCGCCCAACTTTACACCATATTACTTAGGCAGGTTTTCGTCTAAAATAGTCATGATCAGTTTGGGTTGTCAGGAATCTTCATGTGAAACGGGAAGGCCCTTAGAGGCACACTGAACTCTCCGTCCCCTCCTGAAGTTATGTGAGGGGGTAATACCAACACCAGCTAGAATATTCGAAGCCTGTGCACTGGAGTTTTGACGTCATCCGCGTAAGATCGAGCGCAGGCACAGATTGCATACGAGTGGTGCGTCAGCGTTCGGCTGGGGCCTCCTGTCCAATCAGGGCGTTGGAGGACGCTCGGCATCGAGCTCGTGTCCAATTGCTGAGTTCATCCGCCATCCGACTGTCATTACTTTCCATGTGGGAACAGCGGAATGTTCAGAGGCCTTGGTTATTTTAGTTGGTGCTGATACATCACGTATATGAATTCTTACTTGCCCCCGCCCCCCTTCCAAGAAAAAAATATAAAGTGCAACAACATTTTCGCATAATATTTAGCTCACGACGTGCTTTTCTTTTCTGTCTTTATCTCGGGACCACGTGCCAAAACAAGAACGTTTCAGAATTGCTTTTCACTCTAAACAAGTATTACGACATAAATGTTGCGTTAAAATATTTTTTCCGGGAAAGTGAGATGTGTGACTTATGTTGGGGCCTTAAGTTGCAATACAAGCACTTAATTCATTTATTTGTTTTTGAATGAGGGAGTTCGGTGTTTTAATGAGCGATTATGAAACAAAATATCAAAATTGCTCTTAACAGGAAAGGTGTCTCGCGACGTAAATACTGCGCTAACTCTTTTTCCGGAGAAATCTTATTTTCTCGGAAAATTGAGCACTCAGGCTTTCTTATCTTAATGTGCTAACAGATCCTACCCCCCCCCCCCCCCCTTTTTCCAGCGAAATCTCCCCCTCCATCCTCCTCATTCAAGCCTGATCTATAAATCCGCCACTGCGATGGGGTGCGGATTTGTAGATAAAGGAATGGTGTACATAGTTGTTTCAGATAGGTTTGGTTAGATTCGTTCATATCAAGAGTAGGTATATTAGCTTTCCACGATTCTCGGGCAGATCACCCACAAGCTTCCTCTCAATCCACGGGCATTTTATAAGGCTCGTTCGCAATGTTGCGTCGACTGCGTTGCGCTTTGTTGACGACGTGCAGCACAGCGACTCTCCAATGTCTCGTCGTAAAGGTCGCCATAGCAACAGCTCGACGCAAGCAGAAGTCTTAACGCAGTCAAACGCAACTGTGTGAACGAGTTTTTAGAAGCTAGAAAATAAACCTGAAAGGAGCGATCACTTACCGATCCTCCTCTTGCCATCCCGGAAGAAGAGGTCCGCCGAGGGGACGTTGCCAGAGGGACCCATCACCAGGCCCGGCTCGCTGGCCTGGGACTCCAGTTCGTCATTCTGCGCGTTTAGAAGAGTAGCTTTCATTAGAATGGAGCGAAAGAAACCTGTGGATCTAACTCCGAGCTATTGTTCAACAACTGTTGTCCAACCGAGGAGTGCGGGAGCGCGTCAGGTGTTCGCGTCCGTCGAGTCTCTATCTTCGGAACGGCCGAGTGCCTCCCTCTGTGCACAAGAGACGTGAACTGCTTGAGGTCGACAGGCGTGTGTTTCGTCCGCGTTATGGAGAGCTCATGTCATCGTTGCGACTAGTCTAAGAACTATTTCTAGATCTGTCAAACGATTTGAAGTCTAAAGAAAAAGCCTGTTTTATCTCAAGACAATGCTGACGACGTGCAATTGCGGGAGCCCCTGGTATAGCTCGGTGGAGCGAAAACAACGTTTCTACATTTCTTGCTCCTAAAGCTACGCGACACGCTTGTAAGATACCGTTTTGTCGTTCTTCCTGATGGAAGGAAAGCGGAGAGCGAGTGTAGACAATGAGTGCTTTCGAGAGTTTTTTCGCTGTTTCGTTCAGAATCCCTGCCGCCGCTATACGTTTTTTGTAATTCTATGTATTTCTATGTACCGTCGCGATTTAAAGGATATTACTCTAGCCCCTTAGCATTATGTTTGTCTTGGATGTTTTATTTTTTTTTAGTAAATGTTTATAGCCTATGTACTTGCTTGCTTTATTTTGCTTGTTGTGTTGGTGCACCAATAAGAAGACCAATGTGGTTGTTTTTGGGCACCCCAAAATAAAGATTATTATTATGTAAATTAGGTTTTATGTCAACCCAAGCGCGACTTCGAATACATTTTTGTTGTCCAGAAAGCCTTGCGTGCCATTTCTGACAATACTGGCGTTTATTTTTAGTAAATACAAACCAAGCATAAGGTAGAAATCCTCCGAGCGCAACGTTGGTTGCCATTGTCAAACGGCCCATGACAGTCTTTTTTTTTTATTAATTTAATATGATATTATTATACTATATATGTTGCTGATCGAGATTTCGTTGGGTATTTTTATTTTATTTTATTTAAAACATACTGCAAGACAGCGAGTAGCTCAAGCGGGAGTATATAATAATAAACACAAATTCAGATAAATAAGCACTTGCCGAATCCGGAAAACAAAATCAGTAAAAGCAACTGTACATCAGGTAGCACTAGCAATTGTACAAGCATACCAACACATTCCTTAATTCCCATAAATTTTATGCAAAAAAAAAGAAAAGGAGAGCAAGCTGACTTAAAAAACTCAAAGTCGAAATACGAAGTGCAGTAAGGTGAAACGTAACCGTCATAGCATCACAAAAAATGCTAGCCTGAAAAATCACGCTTGGATGAAAGACTTTTTATTTCGCGCTTTTTGTTCAATCTGTAGGCTGCTTTGCAAATTTGCCTTTAACTGGGACCAAGTGTCCGTCGGCTTGAGACCTCTTTAAGGCCCGTTCACACTCTTGCAACCGAGTACGACCGAGAGAGACCAGACCGTTTTTTAAGCCTTTCGCGACTTCTTAGGACCGGATGCGATGCAGCGGAGCTGGTCCTAAGAGATCGCAAGAGGCTTAAAAACCGGTCCCGTCTCTCTCCGTCTTACTTGGTCGCAAGAGTGTAAACGGGCCTTTACAGTTACAGAACACAACGGCACACTGACACCATCTATACCAACAACACTCCTATTTGTGTATGTGCTAGACTGAAGCTTTTCCACTAATTAAGAGTTCAAATCTATGCGCTTCCTGTGAGAAATTGTCGTTTAACATTGTCAAAATTATATTAATCCACCGTTAAAAAATTCGAAAATATACGCAAATAGGTGATGTTCGAGGGCTGCTCGATAGATGGCGCCAGTGTGTTACCTTATCGTAAGCAGTCATACGCAGTCGTAACGCAGTGTGTCACGGTCAAACATAAATATATTAACCAATATTTTGATGTTCCTTCTTGTGCCCATATTGAGGGCATATCATTTCTGTGTTCAGCTACGTTTATTTATACACTTGCTCGCTTGGTGAACCCGATCGCTGGTCCTTTCTTATTAATAAGAAGGGGAAAATGTGGAAAGGTCAGCCTAGATATATCACCCGAGTGGTTGTTCTTGGTGGGGAGAGAAATCATGGAGGCCGAACTGAGCCTACCCCAACCTTCAACCTTTTTGCTTTATGCTACAATAATTGATCTATTTACTCAGTTAGATTAGCAGTTTTCGAACTAAGCACGACCATTTTCAATCAAAAGTCGACGTGATAATTTTTCGTCCTTATGCTCCCGTGTTTATACCCAGCGCATGCTTTTGGTAAAATTGTGAATTAATAAAAAAAAACAAAAAAAACTGCAAAACATAATTGTAAATGCCTACAAATATATCTTTTAGTTTACACATTGTAGTGTTCTAACGGTTTTCCACCCGTGTGGAAAACCGTTAGGACACTTGTTTTGTAAGGGAACGAAAAAATACTTGTTACTAACATTAGAAATGTTGCCTTTTCCGGACCCTATACACTTCTAGCTAGATCTCCTCTTCTCAAATGTTCCCTTGTTCCGTGCCGGTCGGTTACAATCAAGCGTGAAGAAGGTTGATAACAATGTAAACCTTTGTAAGCAGTGAGACAGTGCACGCGAGCTAGTAATTAATCGGCATCTTGTAATTTCATCTAGGAAGAATCGATCGTGAGAATATTTTATGCAATACGATTCCTATCAGTATTTGGCCTATCAACGTGAGATTACGAAAGTTCTATCCTTCACACTAACGCGAGTTCAACGAAGCACGTGGAACAGAAGAGCCACCAGTCGAGAGAGTGATAGGAAGTAGAAATCAAACTGGGTAAGGAATTTTGCTCATGAGAGTTTAGAACCCGGAGTCGGCTTGCCCTCCCCCCCCCCCCCCCCCCCCACACACACACAAAATGTTCAAAACTATTTTTTACGCAAAAAAAAAAAAAAAAAAAAACGCACGGACAAGGGGTGCATACAAGTGCACAAAGCCCAAACCCTTTTCTGAGCGGTATTCTCCTCATGTACTCTCGGTTTTAGTACTCTGTCGTTTGAGGTGCGATGTCCCCTCAGTTTTTAAGCCGGCCCTGATATTACATGTAGTTTTAGAGCGAGTTACTCAAGAATATTCAAAAATGTGCGTGTCATTGTTGCAATGCACTAGGCAGAGACGAGTCAATTGCTGCTAGCATCGAACGTGATTCAACTGCAAAAACAATCGTTTTGGGTCGCAACCTAAAATCTGCGTAATTTGTTAGCCCAAAATAAATGCTGGCCGATGACGCATGCTAACAGCAACCGCTTATAGCATACCGACCCTACTTTCGCAGGTGTGAGCAAATATTTTTAAGGCAGCCTATTATTTACATACACCCTGTTTCTAGGTACTTTTTCCATGCTCGACAAAACGTGCATATGTTGTGCATTTCTCACCTGTGCATCGCTCGAATCCAACTACATCAGCAATATACGCACTATGACACTTAGACGAAGGTCAAGGTGACATATTTATCGCGGGGGTTAGACGAAAGCTCGCAGGTGTCCGCTGTCGCGAGATATCACGTCCGAGCGCAGAAACGGGCCTCAAAATAAATCTTATTGTACGCTCACCTTCTTTTTTTATCGGCATGCCAAAGGAACTCACGGGCGTGTCCTAAATAAGTACGAGGACGAAAAGGTCTTTGGTTTAGTGCGTCATAGTTTATCGTTTTGTCTGCTCGAGTATTTATAAATACCCGAAGGAAAAATCCATCAATGTAACCCTGTTTGGCAGTCAATGTTTTCTAGTGGACCGCTGACTGTGCCTGACTGTACGTCAAACATGTCTGATTGGCCAACAAGTTACTCTGACCGACAGTCAAACTCCAGTCAGACCCCGCTTGTCGGCTTTCTGATGGTTTCCTGGTGGCAGTCGGCAGCCGCGAAATGCCATCAGGATGTCTTGGTGGTGATTCTGACTGTACATCGATTGTCTCTGACTGTACGTCAGAAAGCTTTGACGTGCAGACAGACGTACGGTCAAAGGACGTAAAGCTCGTTCGGATACCACTATTTCGTCAAATCTATGAATACGAAAAGTAACCTATGCACGAGAAGACGATTTTGGCACGTGAGCCCATAAAACCGCTGATGTTAGAGATATGACACGCAACCGACCGACAACCTTGATCAGAAGCCCGCCGAAGCGCCGAACACGACACTTCACACTTCGCTTTGCCCATAGAGGCTTCGCCGAGCTTTCATGAACGATCGCTCTCGACTCGTTTTGTTTGCCCGCTTGCTCCAACCTGTCGATCCTGCTCGGGCTCTACAATGTCTTATGTTTTAGTAGAATTTCTACTCGACAAGACCCAGCCTGTTGTGAGTTCCGACGATATAAGGGACTTTAGCGGTGTAGTTGAAGACGACAGGGTGTACCAGGTCTACTGGGCCGGTGATGCGCGAACAAAAGGATCGTTCTACGACGCGGAAGTACTCTACATGGCAGGTGAGTAGAACTGAAGTACGGCGAGTGATGTACGAGTGCTTTGCATAACATACGGACAGCTGAACTGCATTTGCAGCCAAAGCATTTCGTATAAAACGAATAGTGAAATTGGGTTTTTCTAACGGTGGCGTAGCATAGCATTCTGTTTCCGGCAGCCGATTGGAGCGGACGCAGGATGGCTGGCTCCCACGGAGCTGCGATAACGGTCGACGCCGGCCGCGGTGACTCGGATTTTTTTACTCCGAAGGAATATCGTATTTCTTTGCCGCCCTTGCCATCAGGTGATGCAATGAAGAAGGCAGTTGTTCTGCACTGCGACATTGCCGGAAGACCGTACCGCATTGAGGATTTTCGGCGGCCGCTGGGAGAACTGGGTGTCATCAGGGAAGTGGCTGGCATCGGGGCATATCAAATGTCCCAAGTCTGGCTGCTCAAACTTCATACCGACGTGGCCAAGCTCAAGTTGGTCGAAGCGGGGCGGCTCGAAGTCAAAGGCCGCACATTCCTCGTCGTCAACCCAACGAGGCAGGACGTTCGAGTGAAACTTCACTGGGTGTCG